TTCGATGAATATCTCATGTATAAAGATTAATGAAAAACTGTTAGTAGCAAAAATGGTCTTTCTATAGGTTAAGTAGGTTATATGTATGTTTAGGGGTGACAAATCGGGCTATCGTGTTGTGTTTTTGTCCGACACGACGCGACAAAACTTTTTGTAACATGAACACGACACGACACACTGTCGTGTTTTTTTCAACTAACACGAAAACGAACAAATTAAAAAACAACAAACACGACATGACACGAAAAAGATGACATAATATAACAATTAATTTATTTAATTAATATTTAATCATACGTAACACGACAAACACGAATAACACGACCGAAAAATAGTAAATCGTGTTAATTTCGTGTCGAATTTTGAACACGAACACGACACGACACGAAACGAAGTCGTGTTTTTTATATTTGACACGAACACGTATTCGAATTTCAGTTTCGTCTCAATTTCGTTGTGTGTCGTGTATTTTTGTCGTATCGTATCATCAATTGTCACCCCTATATATCCTCTTGATATATGTTCTTATGTGGATCCTAACCATTATAAAAAAAATACTTGATAATTAGTTAAATATCCAAAATTTATACAATAAGAAAGATTTCTGTAAATTTATCGATTAAAATAAAAGCTAAAGTATGAAACATTTAATTGGTGAAAAGATTAAGGCTACTTTTTAAGGGCTAGATGCAAAAATAAAATGTAATAGTTTAATTTTGTATTATAAAATTTTATTTTTTGTTTTTATTGATTGCTTTGTATTTGTATAACATTTTCATAGCTTGATAGATCGTTTAAAAGACAAAGCTATACTAAAAATAACTTGTTTTCTATAAGAAGTATTTTCGTTTAGAACAAACAAGTCAATCTCTCAGCAAGTAAGCGATTTGGTGAAAATACATAAACGTCTTTGCTTCCCAAATTTGCTAACGAAATTGAGTTACCTTTTCTGGCATGATTGAAGCTCCCGAGACATAAGTGCTTACTAAGTCTTACCAGATAAACCACCAATCGATTGTAATAACAATAAAATAAAACTAAAAAAAGAATTAAATATCCTTCTACTTTTCTTCCTACTTGTCCTCCTACCAATTTGAAATGATGACAAATGTATTAAAATATAATTAATATTATTCAAATATGACACTTGCGATTATTTCACATGTGTAAGAATATAAGTAGGAGGAAATGGTAGAAGGATATTTAATTTCTCAAAATAAAAATATATGTATATTAGTATATACTATTATAAAAGGATCCATATATCCTACCAAAAAAAAGTGATATTTTTGAAAATGTTAGAAGTTAATAGCTATTTTTTTTTAATTATTTGCAAATGACCATCTTTTTCAGAAATTTAAAAATTTCTAGCTATTTTTCTTCTTCTTCACAAATCTTCAATTTTTCAATAAATAATACAATTTTTTTCTCTTCTCCCATCTCTATTATATCATTTCAATAAATATTTAACACAAGAAAACCAACTTGATACTAATGAACAAGCTCAAAATTTATAAACAGGTTCTGAACAAAACCCAAAAACATGAAGACCCAATACAAAAATCATGAACAAATTCGAAATTTTCTATTTAGATTGTGAATTTTCGTACTAGACATCGTTTTGAACCTTCTTGAAAAAACTAAAAAGAGTTCGAAATTGTTATTCGACAAGAACAAATAGTTTGAACTTCTTGGTCATTTTGCCAAAGAGGAAGACAAATTTTGTTATTACCATCTAACACTTATTAAAATTTGATCATCGGATGAATACCCCAAATATAACTAATATGGGAAAAAGAATCCATGATATCCATATGAAACTAGAGCTACCATCAATAGACTAGACCAAAATGAAACGAATGTAAAAGCCCAAAAAACTAATAATTGGCATTAGAGACACACATGCCTATTAACGTGAGAGAGATTTGCAAAGAAATATCTTAAATATTTGTTTAAATATTTTTTTGGATTGCCAATCTTTTTAGAGTCTTGATTATGTACTAATTGTACGATATATACAAAACGGTACATATTCATATTCTCCATTTCAAATGTCGGTACAATAACTAACAAGACACGAAAAACGGAAAAAGTACTAGAATTTTTTTTTTTTTTTTTTTTTTTTTACATATGAGAAAACTCATATAAATAGTTCATAAAGTATCTTAAAATAAATATAATTTGTAAATCCATCATAGTTTAATATAATCGATATAAAAACCAGATTAAATCTTTGTTTCTAATATTTTTGTAAAGAAACATCTTCGTCTTTCCAAAAAGGAAATACTTGTCCTACTTATATATGAAAAAAAAAAAAAAAAAAAAAAAAAGTAAATTACTATATATTCCTGATAAAAATATCTAAACCGTCGATTGTACTATACAAAGAAAATAACATAGAAGTGTAACGAAAAGAAAAGGTAAAGAAAATGAAACAAAGTACAAAATCAAATCAAATAATTCTGGTGGGTCCCACCCAGAATCTCCCACCAACGAACTGGAAGTTGTTAAACTTTATTTCTTTTTCTTTCCGTTTCTTGACCCTTAAATACGGATTATATTAAATTTTTCAAAACTACAAATAAAATACGGATTATATTAAAAATTATTAAACTTTTCAAAACTAAAAATGAAAATAATAATAGTCATACAATCACGGGCATTATTTTACGGTTTATTTACTACAAGAATTATGAGTTTGTTTGTCTATAAACTAGAGTAGACAATGGCTATAACTTTTTTTTTTTAAATTAAATATCTTTCTCTTTTATTTATTTTTATTTATCTTCCTTATGAGATGATGATGAAAAATGTCATATTTTAATAAAATTAATTACGTTTTAGACACTTTGTCATCATTTTTTTTTTTCAAAATGAAACTTAACAATATATATATATATATATATATATATATATATATATATATATATATATATATATATATATATATATATATATAAAAGAAATCTTACTATTTTTATAAATATAATCAATATAATAATAATATTTTTTTAAGACGTTTAAGTTTTTAAGCTTAAAGTACAACTAACTATTAATATAATAATATTATAATATATATCTTACAAATGATAATGTTATGGATACAAGCTTTAAAAACACATTTAAATTAGTATTTCTTTATTTTTAGGGATGGAATTAGTATTTTCATCAATTTTGACCCAACTTGTACTCCTAAAATATCTCTTCTCTGGTATCTGGTGCATTCGAAATCTGAAACACTTCTTTTCGATAAATCGTTTGAAATTTAAAAACTCATTCAAATTGGAGTTCCCTAATTTTTTTGCATAAAATATAGTTGTCTGGAGACTAATAAAAATCTTCATCTCCTTTGCCTCCATCGAATCCACTACCACAATATTTTTTGGTTTTGGCATTGTAATATTCGCCGCCGTCGCTTTGCGCGGACAAACGGCTAGTGTGTGTATATATATAGGGATATGGAATATACATTACAGTCCCACCTAAGCTTAGGTACTAAACCTCTAAAAAATATCGTTTTAACAATGCTAAATATGTCCGGTTTGGTTTCACTTGGTAAATATATCATCCTTCATAACATTTCTTTCTTTCATTATTGTTTTACCATCTTTGTTTTCTTTCCTCAATTATCGTTTATTACTTCACCCAAGTGAACATTACTAAACCCTAAACCTAAACCCTAAACCCTAAACCCTAAACCTAAACCATAATCCCTAAATCTAAACCCTAAACCCTAAACCTTAAACCGTAAACCCTAAACCTTAAAATTAAACCCTAAACCCTAAACCCTAAACCCTAAACCTTATTGTGTCGATCTTGAATTTACGTCTTGAAGTATTAACCGTAATCTTTATATAGGAAAATAATGTATTTTCAAGAGGTTTAGTACCTAAGTTTAGGTGGGGCTGTAATGTATATTCTCTTTTCCCTATATATATATATATATATATATATATATATATATATATATATATATATGTGTGTGTGTGTGTGTGTTTGTGTGTGTAAATTGTTTTCTTATTACAAAATATTGATGATTTAAAAGTGATTAAATGAATATTTTCGATAATGGATGAACAGAATTTTTGAATAAGGTTCAATTTGCGGATTTTATAAATAACATATATAATTATATATGATTAAAAGTTATATTAATTGATTTTCTAGAACGACTAATATATGCACCAGTAAACATAATTATTTAAAAATATATATTATAAGAATGTACACGACTGAAACTTTTGTGTTCACAAAATATATTATTATAATTGTATTATGTTCATTAAATTAGTATTTTTTGTGAAACATTTAACAAAGAAAAGTTATAACTTTCAACTACATTATTTTGGCCAAACATATTCGAAATGTTTTATTAGTTAATTAGTAAGAACATAATCTAATATGTATATTTGTTCCTTAACCATTAGGTTAAGATATTGATGGGGATTGATATTTCTTCATAGCCACTACTCAACAAAAAGAAATGATAGCTGATGAAAATATTTGTAAGTTTCCAAAAAGTTTACTGAATTTTGTTAAAATGATTTTCAAAAAGATACAATGTATTTGATTTTTTTATTATAATATATATGAAATAAATAATTTTGTGAAGTTCATAATTTGTATTTTAACATGAAATTGGAGTCATTTTGTGGCAAATATAATCTAGTCTAATATTCTAATAAATGAAACCTAAAAAATGATACGTGTCAGTTTATTAGAATATCTTTGTGACACATGGTATTTTTCTATGATTTTTATTATTTTCTTTTCTTTGTAACAAATCAAATTCAATTCAAAATTTGAAAATACAAAATTATATTCTAATAATATTATTATGTTTATTTTTACTTAACAAATTAATTCATAATTAATTACAATCAACAATATCTTAGTTTTTTTTTTATCTATGTAAAAATTCTAAATATAGGGACCCAGTTATAACCTATTTTGAGTGATATAAATACGTTTATATCTTCACTTCCAGTCCCCTACTCTCAACCTACCTTCCTCCCTCTCTAAATAGCAATTCCTTTTTGGTTACTTGGTGATATCTGCTTCTGTGTCTCCTCAAATTCTCATTCTATCGCCAGATTGTGAATTCATCTTCGTGTTGTTACGATCAATACTTCAAGTTTTCAATCTTTTCGAACACACAAAGCTTAGAAGTTTTCCAAATTCCCTCTCTCTCTACAACTTGCAGAGAAAATGCTGGAGAATTCAGATATGTTTGAAGCAAGTGGTTGCTTCGATCCCAATTCTGTAGCTCACCATCAACAAGTGCTTATTGATCATCAAGGTGACAGTTTCCCACAACCCCATGTCTCCAACTTCCACCAAATTTCCAATTTCTCCGCCATTGAAGCACCTGCAGATCAGCTTCATCACCAACATCTCATGAACATGGACATGGATCACCAGAACCACCAACAAATCAACTGGGCTCATAATCCTCATGATCAGATTCTTATCGGGAACGATAACAATTGTTTGCCTACACCAACACCACCAGATCTCCTCAATCTCTTCCAGTTACCCAGATGCTCTTCATCAATATGCTTTTCCAACCCGACCCATATCGATCAAACCTCGGGTCAAGTCATGTTCGATCCGCTATTACCTCACAATCTCCCTCCACAGCCTCCATTCTTCAGAGAGTTGCTGAATTCTCTCCCAAACGGGTTCAATTTGACTGGTTGTGGCTCCATTTTTGGCGAGATGGATATGGACAGAGGAGAACAGAATCAACTGTATCATGACGGAGATGCCGTTTTGGAGTTTGGTGGGGGAATAATTAATGGAAAAGGGAGAGAAAACAAAGATACAAAACATTTTGCGACTGAGAAACATAGAAGGCAACAATTGAATGGCAAGTTTGAGGCCTTGAAGGGATTAGTCCCAAATCCCACAAAGGTATGAGAATTTTGAGTCTGAGATGAATTTGATAACATTTACATTTTTTAATTCTGTTTTCTTGTTGAAGAAAAGGCTGATCGAGCATCGGTGGTCGGAGATGCCATTGAATACATCAACGAACTCAAGAGAACTGTCGAAGAACTGAAGATTTTGGTGGAGAGGAAGAGATGCAACAGAGGTAGGATGAAAAAGCACAAAACAGAAGACGATTCGACTTTAGATGTAGAGAGTATTTACACAAAGAGCAATGGTGGTGGCAGCGCCGGTGCCGGCGCCGGCGCCGGAGATCATGCTCATGATCAACAAACCTACAACGGCAATTCAACTTCTACAATGAGGAGCTCATGGCTACAGAGAAAATCCAAAAACACAGAGATCGATGTTCGAATCATTGATGATGAAGTTACAATCAAATTGGTGCAACAAAAGAGGATCAACTGTTTGTTTCTTGTTTCAAAAGTTCTTCATGAGCTTCAACTGGATCTTCATCATGTCGCTGGTGGACTCATCGGTGATTTCTACAGCTATCTGTTCAATACCAAGGTACAACTTCTTTAAGCCATCGTATGCAATGTTGAGTTGTACATTACAACCCATTTGCTCAATTTTTCTGGGTATTTCTCCAAATAACAAATTATTTGGTGGATTCATGGAAAGTTTCTTGATTTTGAATGACATGTGCAGATTTGTGAAGGGTCCTCTGTTTATGCAAGTGCTATAGCCAATAAGCTAATTGAGGTGGTGGACAAACAATATGCAACTATCCCAGTCACTTCTAGCTACTAACACAAGGTACAACTATTTTTGCAGAAAGTACAATCCACCCAACAGAAAAAGCCAATTCCTCAAAGACACTTTTCCATTGTGTTTCTGCATTTGGGCATACAAGTTTATCTACTTTTATAAAACACTCTTTCAAATTGTGTTCATTACATTACATATAACTCTTTAAATAGTTTTGTTTTAAATAATATAATGGTAATTTTTTTTTTAATTTAATTTTGCAGATTTATGGTAGACCACATGGGCTTATGCTTATTTGCTTTGATACTAACTATTGGGGGAAGACATGAAGAGGGGGTAGAGAGGAGAGATATTGGGATTTTAAATTGACACTTAACTACATGAGTAACTTACCACAAATCAATTAACTAGAATAAAAGCAGGGGTAATTCTGGTATTTGGAATTAGACTTTTGGAAATTGCATGCCTAAAGGCAACCATTGGGGTTTGATTTGTTAATTTTATATTACATGAAAATGTTTGGTTTCTCTACAATACCTTTTTAATTTTGTATTGTTGATTTTGTTATTTCGTTCAAAACTACTATTTCTTTAAATTTGATGAAAAATGAACTAGAGAAAACAGAACAAATGTGGAAAACAGCTTACACAGTCTTCGCATAAGCTTTTCAACCAACCACCTATCTATCGATTTGAGTTATGATAGAAAACCGGAAATACGACTCAATTAATATAGGAATCATCTGATTTAGGATATACTGTAAATTCTATAGGTTTTATCTAATTAGAATACATAAATGTTCATAAATTAACTCTAAGTACTTGACTAAAGATCAAATGACTCAAATAATTAACTTATTTAATCATTTTCCAGGAATTAAAATTTCACAAATTCTTACCATTGCCATACATTTTTTTAGCGGATTCACTAAAAGCATTATTCACTACGATATGTCATATGGTCCTCTATATTTTAAGAGATTATTTTCCACTTACGCACCAAGTTTATTTGTAAATTTCTTTAAACCTAAGAATTCTTATTCTCAATATAAATTCTCATTTAGCAGTACTTCATTTTGAGTGGTTTGCTGGGATACACATATTTATAACATTAGGTGTGAAAAGTTAAATATAAAGTTCAATTTGAAAACTTTGAATCTATAAGAAAATATAAAAAATAATGAATTATTATAATAAAAATGTTTTTTATCTTTTAAATTTAAATAAATAATTTTAATAAATAAAAGAAACTAATGACCTTTAATTTTAGGAATTTTGAACTGAAAATATAAGTTTATTAATATCCAATTATTATTATATTTATTGTAATTATTATATTAAAATATTATATGGAATTCAATAAAAATAGAAAAACTCATAAAATAACATGTATGAAAAAAAGTAATTCAAAATAACCACAAAATGACATTTGTCAAATTGAATAAGAATACGACGACTAAAAAAAATCTTCATTTATTTAAAGAGAATTTCATAGTGCCCACTACATTTTGAAGCGGACCCTGCTAAATGTTATGTTATATTTAGAAACTTGGTTACATTTTTGTTATTATTTGGCAAATTATTAAGAGGTGTCAGGTGTGATTATTTTTATCGGCCTAAATTAACGCCAACATCTCTAAACTACTTAGCCCAAAAAAACACTAAAATTAACCTAATCAATTGTTTTGGACACTTTGCTGGACTAAGTAACAAAGTGATGCTTTTGAATCCGTAGGTAGGCATGCACAAACCGGTTTTTTTATGAATCGGACCGGTTCAAAAAACCGGTTCGGTTCTGGTCAACTTAGTCAAAACCGATTCACCCGAAAACCGGTTCAGTTCCAAACCGGTCCAGCCCCAAAATAATCCGAACATATGTAAACCGGTTCAAAAACCGGTTCAAGAGCGGTTCTCAACCCCCCCCCCCCCAACATTTAGAACCGAATTCAAAGTGGCGGAACAAGTAATAATGAGAGACATTTCTTGAAAATATTTTTTTAACTTTGCTTTCATCGATTTCATCATATTAGCAAACATTGTGCTCCTCATTTCAAACTCATTTATTTCCGCGCACATTAAAAAAATTGGTTTAAAACTAAACAACTTGTAGGATAATAAACCCCCGATAAATAAGTAGTTGCTTTTTTAAAAACATCAAGAATGTCCGTGACAAGTTTGATAGTATCCCAACTTGATTCCGGATAAGCCGTAACCTTATTACGGTCCGCGAGGTTGTCATGGAATATTTTTAAAGTATCTTTTTGACGTAAGGCACATTCAAACATTTTGCAAGTGGAGTTCCATCGAGTATTATTTTCCCAATTCGGACCTAAAAAGAGGGCATTCGCATTGACACAAAATTGCATATAATTATGATATCGAGCATTACTAGAACTAAAAATATCTTTTAGCATGTCTTTGAAACCATATTTTATAGTTTTAATGCTAGTTAGTCCATCTTGCACAACCAAATTAATGATATGTGCAACACATCGACTATGAAAAAAAAAACACCATCGCAAATTGGTTTATATTTTAGTTTTAGTTGTCCAACCGCGACGGTGTTGTTTGAAGCATTATCAAAAGATATAGAAAAAATCTTTTCTTCAAGTTTATAAGTTTTGATCACACAATCTAAAATTTTAAATAAATTTCTACCGGTGTGTGGGTACTCAAACAATTCAAACGTAATCGTACGCTTCATCATTACCCAATTAGTTGGATTAATCCAATGAGCGGTAACACAAAGGTACGCATCCGGTGAACCGTGAGGAGCCGTCCAAACATCACAAGTTAAATTCACACCAGTTTCTAAAGATTGAAATCCTAATATCAATTCATTTTTTGCAAGTTTCCACATTTCAATACAATCACGTCTAATAAAAGTACGACTCACATGGCAATATCGTGGTTGGAGAGTATCTTGGATGAGTGAAGTCAATCGTTTGTTGTCGAAGTGGTCAAAAGGCAAACATTCTTGAATCACGAACTTCGACATCCTATCCCGAACTTTAGCCAAATCATAACTCCACAATGTTGCATCATTCACCATTGTTGTTTGATTATGTCCCGGCACAAATTTCACCGCGGGGCATCTTTTGGTCATATGAGTTTTCAATGTCGACTTCCCATTTTCATTAAAAAAAACACCACATTTCTTGCATCGCGCTCTTTTTGTACCGTTCGACATTACACACAAATCATAGTTGCACCAAATATCCGGATTTCTATTTGTTTATTTGATGCTAACAACGGTAGGATTGTTTGATGAATCTCCAACACCAATGGAAGCTGAATTCATTGTTTGAATTAAGAGGGTTTTTTTGAACTAAGAGAGGTTTTTTGAGGAATGGTTAAGGTAAAGTGGAGACCTAAACATCTAAGACATATATATACTATAAGGAATGGTTAATATGGTCAAAAAAGAGCCAAAATCGGGTCCTTAACAGCCTCAAACGGCTATATAGCCGTTAGGAAAAGACAAAAAAACGGTAGCTCTCGAAAACCGGTTCAGCAAACCGGATCAAAAAAACTGGTTTCAAACCGGTCTCAAGGGTAAAAAGGACGAATTGGTCGAATCCGGTGGTTCAGTTCATATACGGTTCGGTTCTTAAGTGAACCAGTTCAGGCCTAAATCGGTTTCCGGTTCAGCAACCGGTTAGGTTCCTAAACCGGTTTTTTTGCACACCTATCCGTAGGAGCATATAACGGGCCAGAATTCAAAATGGGTATAAAAATGGATGACTTGTAAAAAAAAACACTGTGTTACATAGATCATCTCCACATAATGAACTAAAACCGTACTTAAGAATAATAATCATTTTTTTTTAGTTTCAGAGTTTTGCCCTAAAAGATTTTTTGGATTTTGATAGATTTAATCCTGTAATTTTGTAATTTATAAAAAAGGTTCATATAAAGTTTCTATTTTACAAAAACAGGCCATATATTTAAGTTTGACCTATAGAAAATAAATTACAAAAAATATCTTCTTAACTACAGAAAAGGTCCTCTTTTTCTTGTTTTTTTTTCTTAACAAAAACGATCCACATGTTTAACAAAAAACAAAAATTATCCATACCTAATAGAAAATTTGAAGATTAGGTCCACATCCCACTCCCCCTTGCATGCCCCCGTAATCTACTATAATGAAGGTTTTTTTGCTACATGTCTTCTTCTCTTTTATTTTGACACATGACATTTTCTAGAATTTTTAAATTTTCTATTTTTCACTTGTCATTTTATTGTATTTTTCATTTTATTAAATTAAAGTTCCACATTTAATATATAAGATAATATATATGTAAGGTATTTATTAGAAATGGTTTATATATATAATGTATTCAATACATTAAAGACTTATTAATTTTAATAATTCAAAAAAATTCTCATTTTTCTTATTAATTCAAAATTTTCAAATTGTTAAAATTTTAAAATTGATTTTTTTTAATAAACTCATGTAATACATGGATCTCACACCTAGTGTATTGTAATATTACACTTTTTGGTTTCCGACTTTCACTTTTTGGTTTCATACTTTGCTTCCCTGTATGACTTACAAATATTTGCATGTTTACTCCCTACACTTTTGTCGTTAACCAAGTTCAATCCCCAATAACTTACTAGCTTTTAATTTAAAAAAAGACAAAACTGCAAAATTGGTCCTTATGGTATTCAAAAATCTTTGAATAGGGTCCAAAACGTTTTCAACTTGCATGGATGGTCCAAAATCAAAAATTTCCTTTGGTTTTAGTCCCAAAATTATGAATATCCTGTGAATTTGGTCCATAAAGCACTTGTAATGACCATTTTGCCCTTCTAATTCCTTTTTTGTATTTTTTCATATTTATTTTTATTATGTTAATTGAAAATAAAATCTCTCTCTCTCTCTCTCTCTCTCTCTCTCTCTCTCTCTGATTTGGTCCCAACCCCATCTCCATTCATCGCACCTTCATTTTTCCGACAACACCACAACCACCACCGATTATCACCCTTGTCAATTTCAAAGACAAATTTGGGTTTACCAACAATTCTTTCTATAACACCCCTTTAATTTCACCAACAAGGCGTAATCTCTAATTAACAGATCATTAAATTCACAGGACTTTACCAATTCTCAACATCACCAATCAAGACCTGCTTTATTCCCTACAAAAACATCAACAGACTATCAATGTTTTCAACTCAAGATAACATAGTAATAGGTGATTCCAGGGCAGAATCATCAATTTCTGAACAAATCCTAGGTGGGGAAAATGAAATTGAAACATAAATGAAAGGGTAGAGTAAGGAGAAGGGGTGTAGATCAAATAAACAAATGACCAATGATCTAGAGTTTACCGGAGCTTCAATCGATGTCAAGTAAGATTTTAACGGTAAAGAAGTCCCAGGTAAGATTTTAATGGTGACAGAGCTTAGAAATGCTTCGTGTGGATCTGATCGTTAGCCTCCATGTCTTCCTTCACCACCTTAGTGATGAAGGCTTGGTTAGGGTTACAGAGATATGGAGAAGGAAGCAAAGAAGGAGCTAAAGG